ACCCGTGTTCATTAAATATTACTGGAATTGCTGGGCATCGCAGCAGATCCTATGTAACTGTCTTAAGGAACTGTTACAATTTTACACCAGTCTTTGACCAATATTTGTAACAATATTTCTAAAGCTAATTAAAGCTAAAAGCCAAGACTACATATTACACTAAATTCCACATACGCTTATGAATTAATATGATTCCCAACTTAACAGCTGTGAATTTCGTTTTGTTGTGGCTGACGGCTGCAGTGCACTGGCATTTTAAATGTGCTTTCCCCTGCTCATTGTGTGTATTCCTGTAATGGAAATTAGTGTTTAAAATCAAATCTGAGTAATTCTTCTCTTCTCCAGTATGACACCTGCGGTATAATGTCTAAGATAATTCAGAGAAGGACCCGACTTACAGAGATATTTGGGAAGATGTGGAAGGCTACTAAGGAAAAGAGGACTGTGAAACCTTATGTTTTGAACTAAGTTACTAGAAGATTCAAGCCATAATCTCTTGTCCTAGTTAATCCATCGAAATAATAAATGACAAACAGACAAAAATGGGAAATTATTAGTTTTTGTCAACTTTCTAATTCAGCATCTGAATTTTTGTTGTAAGCTTTTTGTAATACAGGTAGTCCTCGACTTATAACCATTTGTTTAGTGACCAAAGTAATAACTGCCCTGAAAAAAGTTACTTATGACCATTTTTTACACTTACAACCTTGCAGCATCCCCATGGTCATATGATCAAAATTCTGGCACTTTGCAACTGGCATGTGTTTATGACAGTTGTGCTGTTCCAGAGTCCTGTGATCACCATTTTTAACCTTCCCAGCTGGCTTCTGACAAGCAAAGTCAATGGGGGGAAGCCATTAACAACAGTATGATTCACTTTACAGCTGCAGTGATTCACTTAACAACTGTGGCAAAAAGGTTGTAAAATAGGGGAGGAGATTCAATTGACAACTGCTTTGCATAGCAATGGAAATTTTGGGCTCAATTGAAGTCATAAGTGGAGGACTACTTGTACACATGTTACAAGATACAGATTTTAGGTTCCACTGCGGTGTTTCAAATTCTCTGTGATCTGTTACTATAATGTTTTGTGATTTATCATCATCTTTGGTTCTGCACTGTATTGAGTCCCTCAGTTATGACTGTTTTCTTCTCATTGTTATCAGTGATTTTCTAACCAAGTTGTTAATAGAAAAATTTGAGACTTGCTTTGGGTTTTTAAATTCAATGTTATATAGTAGCACAGAAAAAGAAGAAGGATTAAGCATTTCCTTATCAGCATTCACCAAAATGGTCAGCATATTAGTGATACATTTTGAATTTATATAGATAATAAAGGAGCTGAGCGTCATAGCAAAGGCATTCTGTTCAAAATATTTCTGCCATTGCTTGTTTTCCATATGCTAATATACAGGTCCTCATTCCTACATAAATCAGATCACTTTTCCCAACATCACATCTGCATATGATGATTCTAAATGAAGGCAAACATAATAAGCAGATTTTAATTTAAATATGTCGTATTATTTTTAATAAAATAAAATCCCTTTATTTTGAATAATTAGTCTGAGAATTGGTTTGTTAATATTCTCTGAATTTTAGTTTTGCTTTATATTGTTTTTCCATAAATTGTTTAATATTGTATGGTGCCCAGAGTCACAATGGCATCAGCTGGCCTATACATTTGATAAATCAATGTATGTATGGTTGTAGTAGAGTTGTCTCAAATAATGACAGCTATAAACCTAATACTTTTAATATATTGCTTAACTTAATAAATAATATTCTATTATAGGAGGTAAAAAGTTTTTTTTAAACCAACCAACAACCAGGGTCTAGTAATTAAAATATTTCTTAAATTTTCATTTAGAAATACATGAATATTTGGGGTTTGTTTTCCTTTCCTTTCTGATAATGACATTTATAAGAGCGGGGTTTTTTTTTGGTTTTTTTTTTTGTAACTTAGCATTTGAAACATTGTGGTCATTTTCTTAATGTTTCCCTGGAACATTTCCTTGTTCCAAAAGAGGAATATTTCCCTCTCTCTCAAAGAAGCCGAGGTCCTTGAGTGGAAAGTGTTATTAAAATTACTTTCATGCCTCACATTGTAACTTGCTACCACAATGATTATTCCTCCCCCCGTTTTAGTTCTATCCGTATTTCTTTCTAAGCACAGAAGGATGCCCCCCCCCCCCGCATCTTTAATGAAAAGAGAATCTCAACATATGGAGACGTGTAATTGAAGCTACAATCCTGAAATATTCCCAGAGTAACTTTCCCAGAATATGGCTAAATAGGGGGTGGTGGTGAAATATACTGCAAATGGTATTCCGTCAGAGGCATTTCTTGGCGTCAGGGACGTGTCCCGGTTAACCATCAGTTCTGTCATCCTGCCGTCCCTTTCTAAGCAGTGGGTCTATGAGCCTTCAAATGAATTATGTTCTGGGGGGAAGGAACGGGATGGGAAAAAAGGAGCTCCGTTGATTAATCATTCCGTGAACTGGGAGATACGAAGAACTTGTGGCTTTGGGGTTTCTTTAACGAGGCAGCGCGCAGAACCTTGTGGATTGGGCTCTCGGTATGATAAGAGCACCTACAGGTTGGACAAACGCTTGAAAATGTTGTCCGAGCACAGGCGCACGGTTCTCTGCATGACAACCTAGTAGGTTCCGTCTCTGTTCCGGAGTAAGCCGCGTGGTTTTCAAAGAGAGCCAAAGAGAGAAACAGCGCTCACCTACTCCGAAGTAGCGCTAACCTATTCCTGCGTATTATTCGAAGGCTAAGGTTGCACAGCCTCTAAGTACAGACCCAGGAATGGAGGTTCTGCCTCTTTCCTCTTCTGGGGTCCCCCCCCCACCATTTAAGAAAGGAAACAGAAGCCGTCTTTTGCGAGTTGCAGGTTGTTAGGATTTCCCTTCTTGCGGAGAAGGGGTGGCCGCCTCATCCTAGGTAGGACCATCCGCTTTGCGCAATGGAAAGGTGTGAGCTGGTATCAGAAGGATAAAAGGGAGGGCTGGCCGGGGTTGGGCGTGGGCTTCTGGAAAAAAAGGGAGTCCGGGAACCCCCGTTCTTCCTAGACCCGCTCTTTTTTAAAAGGAAAGAAAAGAAAACCAGGTACCTCAACATCCCACCTTTTGCACCGTGCGATGCATAGCTCTCTCACCTTTCGCACCGTGCACCCCCCCCCGCAAGCCCCATGGATTTCATAGACTTGGGGGCGAAGGGGTCCTTCCAGTCCTAATGTATAGCACCCACATTGGCTCTCTTTAAGTGTTGTCCTGCACCCCAATGCGATTACTTGGACCACACAGCTAGCCTCATATTTCTTGGGCCTTCCACAAAGATGGATCTATATCTCTCATTTCTAGGGCAGTTTCAATAATATTAAAATACTTAAAAATAAAGTGATGCGAAGCTTTATTGATGTTATATTTCCATGTTTTAACTGGCTATTCCAGGCTGGCGTATCCTAAACTAAGCACATGGCTAGAAGCACCTGCAAATTCTCAAACTGGAGCAGGAAAAGCAGCCTGGCCAGGCATCCTTTTATATACCCATATACCCATTAGGGTTTCTGCCAAATGATATAGATGAAATCACTCCCAGTTTGTTATGAAAGAAACTTTATTTTATTTTTCACAAGTAAAGAATTTTTCTCTGAATTTTAAGAAAATTCCCTTGATCAGTCCCAGTCAAGGTCTGGGATTTTTTATAACTTACCTTTCTTAGCATAAAGCCTTTCTTAATATATATCACATGTTTTTTCAAGGAATTTTTTTTTGAGGGGGGGATGAAGAGAGGAAAGTATGGGTGGAACACCAAGCTAATATCTATTACCCTGTTTTATACTGCTTTTTTTCTTTTGCAAAGAAAAATAACAATTTTCTTTAATTAAATATTACAAAATAATAATTTCAGACTTGCCTGAGTCAAAATCCTCTGATTAAAAGAAGAATCTAGTTTTGCTCAAAGTGGAAAACCAGATGGACAAATGGTTTATGACTGTTACTCTCTTTAAATAAAGAAGTGCAGAAAAAGATCTTCTTAGGATAAATCGATTGTGATTATTTATTTTAATGTTTAGATTTAGGAAGTTCCCACATATTTAGCCCAAACTTTCTGGGGTGCTCGATTAAGGCTGACATATTCCTTAAGGTTTTGTAGTCCAGAAACATCCAACTATAACTCCTAACATATCTAACCAGCCCAGAGATATTGGCTGATTGTGCTGGGATTAATTGTTCAGGGGCATATCTTGGGCACCAGGTTAGACGAGCATTGTGGAAATAAAATAAATAGGCTACCTCTAATGCCCCTTAACATGTACCCCATTGGGCATAGCAAGCAAGAGGATTTAAACATTAGTTTTGCAGGGAGAATGAGCATGAAGTGCTAATACAAGGGAATATGACGACCAGATTAAGGAGCTCTCCCTCTTTCAAAATCAGTTGTTGATTAAATTGTTGAAATTGTTAGCAGAGGGGTCTCTTGTGACTGTGTATTACAGCCTCGATGCCTGCCCGGAGTCTGGGAAAACCGAAACATCAACGGACATTCTTTTCTTCCTGGGTCATTTCCCTAATGAGTCCTTTTGTACCTGGAATTCTTTGTACCTCTGGGAATTTCTCAGGTTTTCCTTGCCCTCTCAGCACAGTCCTTATAAGGACCTTCAGCCCCCACCCCCACCCCCGCCCTTTCTATCTGCTTAGTGCCATTTGAATTCGCCCCAGTGGCTTCCACTTTGATTCCGGGACTTTGAAATGCAAACCTGCCTTTCAATGCAAATGCTCCGAGAGGTTGGCCCAATAATAATAAAAAAAGGCTTTTCCTCAGGGAGGTGCCTTTGCGAAGTTGGGAAGGGAAAAAAAAAAAAAAACCTGAGCAAGTAGTTCAGGTGAACTGTTAATCAGGAAGAGGCTGGGAGTTCTCGGCAAAGGCAAGCCAGGGAAGACGCTGCTGCGGCGCCGGGCACATTATGCACGCTGAGCTACTTGGGGATGATGTATGTGGGTTATCTGTTGGATAAGGACACCAACATGTACCCCAACCCGGTCAGGCATCCGGGCCTGAACCTCACCTCCCCAAATTATGTGCCCGTGCCCTCTCAATACTCGGATTTTGCCAGCTACCACCACATGCCCGGGATTAACAGCGATCCTCACCAGGGGCAGCCCGCGGGTACCTGGGGCTCTCCGTACCCGCCTAAAGAGGACTGGCACTACGGCGCAGGAGCCCCTTCTTCTGTCGCCAGTCCGGGGCAGCTAGGATACAGCCCCCCGGATTTCAATTCAATTCCGCCACCCGGCTCTGGACTACTGCCTCCGCCCATGAGCGCCCCAGTCCCCCAGCTCTCCCCAAACGCGCAAAGGCGCACGCCTTATGAGTGGATGAGGCGCCACGTTCCCACTAGCAGCAACAGTGGTAAGGATTTGTCTCTCTTTCTCTCCTCCGTCTCTGGCTTCGGGGAGGGGTCTCTTTTAGGCCGGGAGGCGAGCAAGTCTCTACGGTCTGACGACTTTTTTCCTTCGCGTCTCTCGGCAGGGTTGAGCTGGCCACTTTATAGCGTTTACTCTTCATTATCTTTCCCCATCAACTTGTAGACACAAGAATTTGTGGTCAAACTACATTTTAACACGAAAAGGGAGGGATACTTGCAAGATTGGCTAAGGATCCAGGAGGTTCGGAGGTGGCTTCCTTACACAGAAGGAACTTCCACTTGTGCAATGTTTGCTAGTTGTACACAATTTGTCACATGTGACGCCTGGAATTATACATGGATATTCGTCGATTGATGAATCCATGACTTGGAAAGGGTCTTTTGTTTCTCAAGCAAAGAGTTCCTGGTTCAGTCCACGGCTAAAATGATAGGAGCCATAGGAAAGCTGGTTGCTGGCCAAAATAGCCTTGATCCTTAGGAATAGGTAGATAGTATTCTAGTCAGCTTGACTGGGCAATAATGGACGAGATATCATCCCATGTTGTGATTGGCTATGGCCTCCCCAGTTGATGACCACATCAGGATAGAATTTGGAACAAATGAATCTTATAGTCAGTATAATATAAGTTTTCACAATTGTTCAAATATTTTGTCAAAAACGGGAATTGTAATGCAGGGGTTATAGTGTACAGGGTAAAGTTACAGAGCTACATTCAAAGGGGGAATTTCAAGGAAATAGAGTGAGTAATATATAAAAATAAATATAATAGAGTACATGGGCTTCTGTTTGTTTGTGTAGGTATGTGTCTGTATATTTCCCTAATCTACATTGAAAGGAATGACTAGAACTTTCCAAGAACTACCTTTTACTTAAGTCTTTCCATGTTTCATTGCCAAACACGTTACCCAGATTCTGACACTGAGTCACAAGTTAATTTTTCTCTCATCAAGTAAAGTTGTAGTAAACTACAGAGAATGATAACTGACACAGGGGACAAAATTAAATACTGATTGTGAAGGCTCTGGTAAAGAAAGTTTTGGGAATTGTCTGCACTTATCTGTGTGATTTAGCAAATCAGCCAGGAAAAGATCACAATAAAAATAATTTGGTTTTTTTGTTAAGTTCTGGGAAAATCTGAAAGGTCACTGTGCATAACTGCCTGCTTCATTTTTGTGTTCATCAAAGTACAGCTGTCTTTCATTGGTTTCCAATTTGATGACACTGTATACTTAATGTTTTTATTCTGTATGGCTACTGTTATCAAATTCTACTGTTTTCAATGAAATTTCATTCTAACCGTTTTTGTTTGTTGCACCCCTTTCAATATGATGAATGGTGACACTACCATAGCTTGGATAAGGTGTATATTGATGTATGTTTCAATACTAGCATTATCCTTTAACATTAATATCCAGCAGTATTATGCCACTGGATTATTCTTCTTCCTGTACAGTCTTTGAAGCTTTTAGTGTACATTCTGGAAACTTTGGGAATAATTCAGGGATGTCCCTTAGGCCCTAGGGCAAATGTTAATCTTCTCAAAAATCTCTCCCTTTCCTATCATTTAGTATGGTGCATACTGTGTAAAATATGAAAATATGTAATCATCTACCACTTCTTGTTCCATTATTAAGAATTCAGATAGAATTCTGTATTTGGAAAGGCAGTAACTTCTAGTTTCTGATTAATATTTCTGTCGAAATGTCCTTGTGTGTCTGCACACATCTAAGCATCTGCACAAGAATAGTTATTGCCTATTTGCTGCATTCTTACTTTCTCTAGACTTCTCAAAAGATTATATTCCCACCTTTCACTTTATAACTGGTGATAGTTCTCTAATCTAAAAACTATTGGGAATACAGAATAATGGCATCTTTGTGTCAGTTAATGTATGAGATAGTGATGTTCCTGTACTATAAGAAAGTGTCAAGTACTTTTTTGTGAATACATAAGTTGCTTATCAGTACATGATTTGCTCCCTCCCCCAATGCTATTCTTAAGAAGTGAAAGCTAATGGCACAATAAATAGGTTCAACTAATGAATGTATGGCACCTTAAATTTTTATGGGACAGAAGTAACAGCAACTGTGTGTGTGATTTAATGGCCCTTATTTATGGGAACCAGCTCCATTGATCTCAGCTCAGTTATTTTTTAATAAAAAGGTGAGATTTGTAAAGGGTTTTCTTCTCATATGAACTGATTTCCTACTTTCATCTTTAAAAAGTAATATGAATATAAAATAGGATTCTTTGCAGAAATGTCTATATGCATGCTAATAGATAGCTTGCTTTTTATTGTAAATTTGGTTATAAAGCTGGGATTTATAACTGAATGGAAAGATAATGTAGGCGTTTAATTTTTTTTGTCGTTTTATTGACTTTAAGACAGCCTACATTCAAACAGTTTGCTTCTCTCAACACCACTACAGTAAATGTTAGAAATTGCTGATCGAAGCACGGTGAACTAAAATTAGTTCTGAATGTTGCAGAACCGACATACTGTTCATTGTGCTTTTTATGTTTTTTCAAACGGGGTTCGATATTTTAAAATGCCCAAACCGGGTGACTATAAATGAGCGCCCCTGCATTTTCTGACGACAGGAATTTATGCGCATTTTAGGCGATACGTTCCGTCCTAAAAGGCTCGCGTCTCTGAGCAGAAAAAAGGCGCGAAACAGGTTTCCCGCCAAGCCTGGTGTACCTCGTTGCTATCCCCCTCCTTCCCTTCCCAACTTCTTTCTCGGGGGCGTTGGATCATTCCAGCGCCGAAACTCGGCCTCTAATTTTGCGGCCGCGCTGAACTCTTGAACCCAGGGCGAGAAAGGAGTTTTTAAGAGGACCCCGGGGTGACGCGGTGGGAAAGTGGAAGTCTCTCCCCAGGCGAAGGCAAATGAACATTCTGGGGTGACAAAAGACCCCTGCACCGGTGCCCAGTTCAAAGGCGGCAAGGCCGGCGACCTGCCTCATGAAAGGCCCTGCGGACGCCTCAGTCAAACCCGGGGCAAATTTGCAAGCGTGCTGCTTTTGTTATGCTGATCGGCCGAGGGGCTGCGTGCGGCGGGGCGCCCAGCGAGCCTCCTTGTTCTCAGCTTTGAGGATTGGCGGCTAGGCGGCCTTTGAAGTCGGGGGGCACTTCCACTTTCCCGCAGGCCTTCAGGTTGGGCCGCCCATACGAGGCCGCCACCGCCGCTTTCGCAGTTTCGGGCTCCTGGGCTGGCACGACGCTCGGCCTCTCGACCAGAATATTTCGCGCGAAGTTGGTTTGTGAAGGGAAGCGAGGACGCGATGGAATAAGGCGCCGCGTCGAAAACTTCAGCATAAGCGTGCAGGACTCTTAACCCGCCGTCCGTTGCGAGTGAGGCGGCATATAAATTTAATAAATGTTGATGGCAACGGCGACTTCAATTGGAGCGGGATCGAAAAAAAAGGATATTTGAAATGTGTGGTTAGGGTTGCCAGGTCTGCTTCCAAAAAATAGCGGACAAGCGGGGGGGGGGTTTAAGTAGTAAAAAAAGTAGACTGTACAGCTTTAGATTATGTACCATTTCGTCATAAAGCTTTTGAATAAAAAAAATGTCCACTATTTTATGAAAAAAAATAGTGAACATAATGTGAAAAAAGTGGACTGTCCACTCAAATAGTGGACACCTGGCAACCCTATGGTTGTGAACTGCGCTGGAAAGTTTCATTGGGCCGGTGGCTGGCGCTGTAATGGGCCCCAAAAGTCAAAATTGTCAAGTTTTCTTGGCTTCAGAGGATGAAGTTTAGGCATGTCCTTTACTCTCCCATTGAAAGCAAGAAGACTCCATCTGAATACCTTTCTTCAGAAGTAGCTGCCCCTTCAGGGCAATGAAATTTACATTCAGGAAAATATATATTCTCTATGCAGTCTGGAACAGGGGCTAGGGGTTTTGTTTTGTTCATGCAAGTATTCATCTGTCACAAAAATGTATCTCCTTTCATGTAGTATGTAGTGACTGCCTTGCACAAGGTTTACTGAATACCTCCACAGCAAAAATGATGGCTTCCCCTATTATTTGCTCCCTGATACTCTAGAAGTTGTGTGATAAAACGATCCCAGGATAATTTGCTTTCTTCAACCTTCTTTGTGGTCTGTGATCATATAGCAAGTTAGCGCAAATCAAATTGGGTGCTGAATCATTAGCGATCAGGAGTAGGATACTTTTATCTTACAGGCTCTGGCTAATATTGCAATGTTACACACTGATGAAGGAGCTGGTGGAAGAGATCTTACCTTCCCTCTACAGTGCTGCTGCTTTGTTCTGAGAATCCCCAAATTTATGGGCTATTTCATTGAGGGTTGATAAGGAAACTTGATGGAGGCAGTTACCGCTTTTGTAGCATTTAACATGCGGATGATCACATGTCTAATACACCAAGAATGCAGAGTCTATTAATTTATGTAATGGAATCATTACATAACATTTTTTGCATCTTTATATTCATAAGATTTAGTTATCCAGGTTTCAGACTGGATATATTAATCCATAGTAACACAGTTTGGGCATTGCTCTTTCAACTTGTTGGATTGTTGACTAAGAGCCTGCAAGACTAATAATTAATGGGAAGATCACACTTTTGTTATCTGAATGGTTAACTTCAGAGCCTTTTTTTTTTTTTTTTAAACCTGGAAAGGATTTTAAATGAAAGACTTGATACCATCTTAAATTGATCAAAACTAGGTCAAATGATTTGGAGGTTTTGCTTTATTTTGTAATAGTAACAAAGAAAACAAAACTATTTCAGATTTTGCATAAAATAAAAACACAATAGAATTATACTAAGACAGAAATACTGACTGAATTACCTCTAACTAAATTAAACCTAATTTGATAGAAAACAAAACTCAAGATATCTTTTTACAATCTTCTTGATTACAATCAAGGAAATCGTTTTTCTTTAATGCAATTGATCTTTTTATTTCTTAAACACCCTGTAAAGTAACACACCATATTACCAAAC